TGGGGACAGCAGAGAGCACACTCAGCGTCCCAGAGGAGGTGGGATTGCCACCCCCAAGGTCCCAGAGATGTGATTGCCACACCCAGGGTCTCTGGGGGATGTGATTGGCACACCCAGTGGTCCCAGAGGAGATGTGATCCCATAGGAGATGTGATTGGCACACCAAGGGTCCCAGGGATGTGATTGGCACACCCAGGGGTCCCAGAGGAGATGTGATCCCAAAGGAGATGTGATTGCCACCCCCAAGGTCCCAGAGATGTGATTGGCACACCCAAGGTCCCAGAGATGTGATTGCCACACCCAGGGTCCCAGATATGTGATTGCCACCCCCAGGGTCCCAGAGATGTGATTGGCATACCCAGGGTCCCAGAGATGTGATTGCCACTCCCAGGGCCCCAGAGACATGATTAGCACACCCAGGGGTCCCAGAGGAGATGGGATCCCATAGGAGATGTGATTGCCACCCCCAAGGTCCCAGAGGATGTGATTGCCACACCCAGGGTCCCAGAGATGTGATTAGCATACCCAGGGTCCCAGAGGAGATGTGATCCCAGAGGAGATGTGATTGGCACACCAAGGGTCCCAGAGATGTGATTGGCACACCCAAGGTCTCTGGGGGATGTGATTGACACACCAGAATCCCATGGGGGATGTGATTGGCATACCCAGGGTCCCAGAGGAGATGTGATTGGCACTCCCAGGGTCCCAGAGATGTGATTGGCACTCCCAGGGTCCCAGAGGGTGTGATCGGCACACCCAGGGTCTCTGGGGGATGTGATTGGCACACCCAGTGGTCCCAGAGGAGATGTGATCCCATAGGAGATGTGATTGCCACCCCCAAGGTCCCAGAGGGTGTGATTGCCACACCCAGGGTCTCTGGGGGATGTGATTAGCATACCCAGGGTCCCAGAGGAGATGTGATCCCAGAGGAGATGTCATTGGCACACCAAGGGTCCCAGAGATGTGATTGGCACACCCAGGGTCTCTGGGGGATGTGATTGGCACACCAGAATCCCATGGGGGATGTGATTGGCATACCATGGGTCCCAGAGGAGATGTAATTGGCATACCCAGGGTCCCAGAGGAGATGTGATTGGCATACCAAGGGTCCCAGAGATGTGATTGGCACTCCCAGGGTCCCAGAGGGTGTGATCAGCACACCTAGGGTCTCTGGGGGATGTGATTGGCATACCCAGGGTCCCACAGGAGATGTGATCCCGTAGGAGAGGTGATTGCCACACCCAGGGTCCCAGAGCAGATGTGATTAGCACACCAGGTCCCAGAGGAGATGAGATCCCAGAGCAGATGTGATTAGCACACCAGGGTCCCAGAGGAGATGAGATCCCAGAGCAGATGTGATCGCTGTCCCCCTCTGGGGACACTCACCTGCCAGCAGCAGGGCGGTGACGCAGTCCTGCCGCCCCTGCACCGCCGCCTTCATCAGCGCCGTCAGCCCCCGCGGGTCCCTCTGGTCCACCTCCAGGGCAGGGTAGTAGTTCAGGAGGTAGTTGACAATGGTGATGTGTCCTTGAGAGCCAGAGAGAAGCTGTGTTAGAGCTCCCACCGTTACCAGAGGCCATGGCTGGACAGAGAATTCAGCAGCTGC